AAATGGCCTCAAGTTGCACCAGGGAGGTTTAGATTGGATATTGGGAAAAATTTTCTCGCCGAAAGGGTTGTCAAGCATTGGAACAGGCTGCCCAGGGAAGTGGTGGAGTCACCATCCCTGGAGGTATTTAAACGACGTGTAGATGTGGTGCTTAGGGACGTGGTTTAGTGGTGGACTTGGCAGTGTTAGATTAATGGTTGGACTTGATGATCTTAAAGGTCTTTTCCACAGCCTAAACTTCTATGATTCTATGAAAATAGTGTTCATCTTCCAGTTCTCCCTGAGCAAAAGACTTAGCTTTGCTGTTTGGTATACATTTTGAGTCTACTTAGTTTTCCTGTAATAATTAGGAGGGACTGACTTTTTAGTTTCTTAGAGAATGCTCAAAAAGGAAACAATGCTACAAACACATTCAAAGTCCCTGTGGAACTGGTAGTGTTCATCTTCCAGTTCTCCCTGAGCAAAAGACTTAGCTTTGCTGTTTGGTATACATTTTGAGTCTACTTAGTTTTCCTGTAATAATTAGGAGGGACTGACTTTTTAGTTTCTTAGAGAATGCTCAAAAAGGAAACAATGCTACAAACTCATTCAAAGTCCCTGTGGAACTGGATTGCAAAATCAGGTTCAGCATTAACCATACAGACAGTAGAGGGGAGACTTCAAATTTTTGTTTCCAGGATGTTCTTTTCTGTGGTGCTTCCAGTTTACTCTATATCTCCGCTGAAGAGCTTTGCCTCTCCAACATAACCGGTGTCTTTCTTCTGGTCAAGAGGAAACTAATGGAAGGCTTTCTTATTCTATATTTTCCTTTATTTACTAACTCTGTCACTGATAGTCATTAGTTGAAGCATTGCCTGTCCATGCGCTAACACACTGTTTAAGCTTGATTATCTACAGAGCAAACAGCAAGGGCAGACACCTAGCATTTTAACTACTTTTCTGCACCCTGTTATATCCTGAGAGGAACAGATCACCCACTTCTAGCTAGGTATTTTACTATTCAAAAACAAAAGAAAAAATATCTTAGGGGAAGGATAACTAGAGTAAGAGGGTTCAGTGGCTGGGATACCTCCCTTTGATGCAGCAGAACCAAATATAATTCTCTTCTTTTTCGCATTTCCTGGATAACCTTCAGCAACTTCTAAAATCATTATGGCACATTAGCTCAAAAATGTGATGGAAAACATAGTTGCCAGCTGGCCGTGGCTTCCACACCTTATCTCCTTTTGCCTATGGAAAGAATTAACTGGGATGCAATAATTGTGTGAGAGAAATCAGTCACTTGTTGCCCTTTTAAAAGGTAGTGTGTAGTTTGTTTTGCTGTTGCAGCTCAGCTAGGCCCTGCGAGGTTAATGTGCTCAGTATGACTTTCAGTCTTTCTTTGATCCTGAGTGACAAGGATAAGGTAATGAGGACCATGTAAATATAGACTACTCCTCTTTTGACAAGAACCAGGAAACATAGACATTTAATTTATCTGTAAGTAGTTTCTTACTTGCTATCAAATAAGGCCCATTGAGATTAAGGTATTAACAGAAAATGACCATGTTAATGTTCTTATTTCAAAAACAAACAGGCAAAGCCCATAGAGGAGAAATATTTCCAAATTTCTGAGAGCATTAGAAACACTGCAGAGGAAAAAATCATGAAAATTACTTGACAGAGGACTGCTAACTACAACAGACAAATAACAAATGGACATATCATAAAAAAAAAATCAATACTCAGGAACACAGAAAATAGAGATGGAAAGGATATATTGGGTCATATTCTGCATCTCCTGCTAGAGTACAATTGTTCACTGCAGTATATCTTTTATCCAGTGTAGCCTTAAATTGTTCAAAGCAAAGGAAATTCCTCTACTTCCTTTGGGAGTGTCTGCCAGAGACTGAAGATCTCACTGTCAAGGGATGTTTCCAGATGTTTAACCTAAATTATGCTCATTTTCGAACCATTAGTGCTGAAGTTCCCTCCTTGGTGTCTATACCTCTCAGAAGGACCCTGCCATCGTAGTCCCTTTGATATTGTTTGCTCATTATAAAACAAAAGGCAAGTCTCTGGGAGTCGATAGAAAATGACTGGGCAGGGTGGTGCTGTTACATCCTAGTTGCTAGAATAGCAACATACATGTATCTACACTTGCATCTTTCTCTATTCCATGGTTAGTAGAGCAGCTTTCCAATAGGATGAATTAGCTGGAGGGCTGTGTGTCACCACACTGCTTCCAAACCAAGCACTTAAGGTATCCCTGTCTAGCATTGTGTTGGAAAGCGTACACTTACCCAAAATGGGATGTGCAGAACCAGAGTGTAACAAGGTAAACAAAGGTATGGCTGTTGCTATCCAAGTTTTTCAGGACGCTCTGAGAGATGGCTATCTCTAGGAAATTCTGTAGATCTTAATTTTGTGTAAGAATAAATGATACGTTTTGATTAACACCTTCTTGTAAGAGAAACAATGAAGAAAACAGAGGTATGGAGAGGCCAAGCTTTTGTGGAGTGTGGGTTTATGTAGGAAGAAACACATTATGCTACTCAATCCCTTACATTGGTACTCTCCAGACTTTCTGTGGGCCTTCAAACTAAATAATTTAAAAATTCCAGCTGTAATCACTTTCTAGGACATGCCCTTCTTATTCATTACCACATCGTAACGCTGAAGCAGGCCAATTTCAACGTTTTGGCATCTGTTAGTTAGTTTAACTGCACCTCAAAATGGTATTTCATTGTATTCATTTAGGTAGATGTATTGTGTCAAAAGCATACAAATTGTAGGTAATAGCATACTCACAAAATGCAAAATGTTTTTCTTTCCTTGAAACCTTCCCTTGAAGATGCCTTTTTTTCCAGTAGACCCTTTCACTGTCTTTAAATACCAGCGACACCTTTAACTCCACCCCGTCACACAATTTTCCTGTATCTTAGAGTCTTGCTGCCAGATGAGGACGCTGGACAGTGGGATTGGAACCTTCCCCCTCCCCGACTCAGGGAACCGATCTACAGGGCGACACATTTCTAAGCAAGAATCAACCTTGGAAACAGAAGTCCTTGCACCGTCTGAGCAAGTTCTTCTTTCAGCTCCTTCAGTAAAAGCCAAAACTCTTGAGCGAGAAGTGCCTTCAACAGCTAACAGCCAGGAGTCTGTGGAAAGCATAATCAGTCATTCAACATCTGATCCGGCCATGACTGCCAAAGGTATACGACCTTTTCAAAGTTGCCTTCCAAAACCAGCTTCCTCAGGTAAAATGTCAATTACGCTGAAAATCACATTATTTCTGCCCTGACATCTGTTTTGATTAGCAGAAGTCCTGTAATAATGACAATTGATAACAGAAATGTTAAATGCAGTGCAGAAGATATTCTTTTTATGAATGCATAAGGTTAACAAGTTTGTGACCTGAGCCGTATGGAAATTTTGTTACACATAATGCTTATCTGAGGAAGAAAAATGTGTTAAGTACTTAAATCCTTTTCTCAAGAAACAGTACTTGAAGAAAAAACATATGCCAGCCTTGGAATTTGACTTGAATAAGAATGCAGATGTTTAGCAATATTCAGGGCTAGACTTTACGGTGAAGTACAAAGCATGGCCATGTTGTGACATAGAAAAGATATATTCCTAAAGACTTGCTTTTGAAACCAGATTTGGACTAAAGACTCACTTGGCCTCAATGCATAAATTCTGTCCCAATAAATATATGGCCTTGACCTCAAACAAGACTCTCATTACTTTATTACAATATACAAATACATTTCTATGTATGAACATAAAATACCTTACTTTCACTTACCTGCTACGTGTGTGTTTAAATTATAAAACAAAAGCTGACAAAGGAACAAAAGGACTAGCAATCCAGCAAAGCACCAACAAATAATGTTGTATTAGTAAACAGTTCCATTGAACTCTGTGCATTTTTTTATAAATGCACACTGACCATTTATATACGTTTTTGAAGGGTTTTGAGTTATTAATATATATGTCAATAACATTAGAAATCATTACATATAGCATTTATAACAGGGAATTTTTCATAGTCAGCATGATAGATATGGTACAAAACGCAGTAAAAGTAATTGGTTTAATGGAGAAGAGTATTGTTTTTATCTTGACTAAATGCAATTTCATGTATTTGTTGGGGTTATGGTTGTTAGCACTTTGTCAGCATAAGTATTTATTGCTCCTATAAAATTTGTGAGTGTTTAACTTGCATAAATCTGTATCACTCTATCTATAAGATAGATTCCGTGTAATTAGCATGTAAGGTTAAGTATCAAGTTTAAGCTTAGTTTAAGGCCATCAAATATGTGTTCTGCTAATGAGTTGATGTATATTGAGCCTAGGAGGAAAGAAGCCTCTTTTATATGTTCATAAGATGCATACAGAAGAACTCTAATTAAACATCTTAGAACTTAGTTGATTTAGCAATATTCCCAGTGCAGTATTGTAATGGTATAATAGACTGCAAACACACATTGTACGCTTCATTGCAGACTGCCCTGCTTGTTTCAAATTAAAGCTAAATAAAAGATATTTTAATACTTAGTATTTTTTAAATAAATGTACTGTTAATTAATGGTACAGCTAAGAAGGATTCAGAAGAGAAATATTTGTTATAGATTATATGCTACATGCTTGAATAGCCACATGTGTGACCTCAATTCAGCAGTGTGCTATAGAGTCGAGTCCATGATTAAACACTGTCATTATAACAAATTGAATAGAAACTGCAAGCGTTGAATTGCTTCATAAGAAGTCAGTAGCAGTAAGATTGTTCTGATCTTAATGCTAATATTCACTGCACCAACCTTGTAAGGTTTGTATCTTAATTAAATTGTCATGAAGAGATGTTAAAAAAAAATAGTATACATCAGGTGGTGGGGTCAACTCATTCTTTATTAGAATATTTTCATTCGATTCTTCTCTCCCTCACTTTCTCATCCAAATTACAATTATCACTTTATTTCATATGCACCATCTATCTTCTTTGATGTTCCGATTTTTCATAGTGCAAATATAGCAAATAAAAAGGCTAGCTGATTGAGAATTTCTGCTAGAAAGGTACTTCTAATTATATTTATGTGCACAGACTGTTCTCTCTCTGAGGACATAAAATAGCAAAGCAGATCCTACAATGCCTAGAAGTAGTTACTGAATGTTGTTTTATTTGAAAACGTATATATTTTAAAAGTAATAGAGGGATTTAAATCCATGTCTTTCTCTTCTTTTGTTAACTGGAAAAGGCTTTGGATCAAATTCTGCCACTGTAGTTGTTAGAATTATTCCAGTAAGTTAGTAAGTTGTTCCTTTAAGTAGTAAGATAGTATTTGACATAATGAAAGTATCAGGACTTGCCCCCAGTTTTTACTGAATTCTAATTGAAATGCTGTCATGAAGATGCTGATGAGACCTACAATTTAAATAATGTGTCTCTTAATTCAGGAATAATTAACCTTGCAAAGCAAAGTGAACAAGAACCAAGTTCTGTGACCTCTGCCTCATTAGAACATACTGAAGGAACTGTGGAAAACAGAAAAGTTCTTCCAGAGTGGACCACCAAGAAAACTACTAAAACAAAGGTAGACATTAAGTGTCATCTATTAAATGAGATACATTGTGGTGTAAAGAATCAGAAATGGTGAATGTTTTTAATATAGCGCGAAGAGCAACTAGCAATCTAACAGCTACGTTTACTTTCTTGCCCTTCATTTGCAATCTCATTATTTATTAATAATAATAATGCAGCACCCAAAGGTACTTTGTCCTCATGGTTTAAAAACATGCTTTAATTAAAAACCTCACAGGCATTTTATAGACAAGGGAGTGGAGACCTTTTACCCTGTTTTTCTCTTCAAGAAACTCGATCTTGTTTGTTTGCTTTCCATGAGATTCGGATCTCTTTGTTTCCCCAGGCTGAGGTTTCCTTGTCTGTATGGCTGTGTAGTATGAGCATTTGAGCAGATGTGCTATGAAAGTATTGTGAAAGGGAAAATACCCTTCTTACATGTTTCTGTGTGTTTTTGGTTAATCCCTGCAATGATCTCTCTGTCCTTCAATCTTTTCATGAAAACTGCAGAAAGAACAAACAGGCAAATGCATATACCTGTGTAAAAGCTATTGCGTATGGTTGTCAAGTTATTCAACTTCAGGAATGCCAGGCTGTCAAGCCCTGCGAGAAGTACAGGGTCAGCAGGTTAGCAAAGAGAGAAAAAAACTTTGTCAAGAAAGTGGGCATTAAGCAAGGAAATTGTCAGACTGCTAGCTAATAAGCCTTACATTACAAAAGGCTACAAACCTTTTGCTGTGTCACTTTTTTGCATGTCTGCTTTATCTCCATGTATTTACTGACTGGGGTATCTTGCATTTTTATATGGCCCATGCTCTGGATATTTAGAACAGAAACAGAGAGATAAAACTACATGTCTTGTATATCATTGACAAGCTGGTGGTGAATCCTCTGCAGTGCAATAGTGTTGGCTTCCAAGTAACAATCACATCAGTGCGGCCTTCACCCTGAGCCAGTCGTGACTGACCACCTCCAGTCCCAAAGCCATCTTAACACGATACACGTGTTACAGCTAATTAGTCTGCCTAAGAGTCAGAAGGTCAGTGTGGGTGTAGCTGACGTGAATGTGTCTAAATGGCTCCAGGACTGCAGCTGACTTACACACTCCCAATTTTCGGGTAATGTTGGGCATACCTGGCTACATGCAGGTATCCTCAGGTCTGGTCCCCTCTCCACGAGCATGTGCTTCCTATCAAATGGATGTCATTCTGCATCAGTTAAAAACTGCAGCATGGATCAGAAGATGGGGAAATTAATATCACTCTCTGAAAAACTGAATTAAAAACTCTTTTGAGCCACTGATAGGCAATTGGGGTTAGGACAGTAGGTGGTATTTGTACCTGTAGATGCCATTAACTGAGCAGTATCAGGCTTAGCTTCCCCATACCTGTTTTGTGGGTTTTATTGTACTGAGCTGCTGCTCCTGAAAGGTTTAAGCCTTCAGGCCTTTCATGATTAAAAGCTGTCCAGAGCTATCACCATTCCTCTTTACTCCCAGAAGAAAATCCTTAGTGTTGCTTCCTGAAGAGAAATGGGATAGGAATCAGCTGGGAATTAAGGGCTCTCCAGTACTGTAATGTATATGCCAGGACAAGGGACATGAATTTAGGAAGAATTTAGGATTTACTGTTATAGAAAGCATGACCATTGTCTACTGGCCATCCTAATTGCCTCTAGAATTGCTTGCAGCAAACCATTTGTTGTGTGATAATCTTATATGTTACAAATACACTGTATTAAACATACTTGAGAAGTTTTAAAATTGAACTTGGTGGATGAAGTTATCTGAAAATGTTGGTAGATTTGAAAACAATGTTACAGTGAAGAAAATGGTAAAATCTGGACTGTGTCTGCCAGACTAACTCAGGAGACTTATCAGGACAAGAATGTTTTATTTCCCCCATGTCGGACTGATGATTACTTACTTGAAGGAGAAGCGGTTAGTTAAACTGGTAATGCAGACTTTTTTCCAGTCGAACTATCCATATACGCTGCATGATGAATATAAAATGTTCCACTCCTAATACCATCTTCAGCATTATTTTGATATACATGCAACATCTGAATGACTGCAATACCCTTATTTGTACAGGACAGAGCTCTGAGAGTGTGTACTTATTCTGCGAGCAGCAGTGACACTGAGCCAGAGCCAGAGTACGGAACAAATTATTTTAGAACTGCAGAGGAGACTTTAGTAGAGTTAACAAAGAACAACAAACAAGGTAATTGAAAATTTGTACATAAAAATGTATATCCCTCATCTCTACTCTGACTCAGCAGCAGATAGTGTCCTTCATTGAACTTTCTGTCTAGTTTTCACTTTCTAACCCCAGATCTTATTTCAGTCTAATTTTCCATTAGCTTTTTATTACTTTTTGCTTTTCATTCTGTGTGTGTATCTTTTTTTCCTCTCTTCCACAGTTTTTGCTAGCAGGGGCTTAACTTGTAGGGTTTTATGCATAAATCCCTGCAGTGTAAGTAAAAAGAAGTCTTCTGTTACATTATTAAAAAATTTAAAAAGTGACTATAAAGATAGCTTCCCTTTTTTTCTTTTTAATTATGTTAGCCAGTTGAAATAACCCAATGATCAAGGCCGTCGTTTTCCAACCTCTATATCAAGTGATGTTGGTTACGGTGCCATAATGAAGTCTCTATCATTGTCCTCCGCGTATATATTGCCATTTTCAAGTATCAAACCTTTTTGCAAGAATTGATGGCAATTTGGAATTTACTGAATTCCAGTAGATAAAAACACATTAAGTGAAGTTCTTGAGATAATAGTTTTCTGTGTGTTTAATAACCCAAGAAATTGCTGTCTTGTCTTGACCAGCAGCTTGCCGTGCTGTAAGCCACCTTTCAGTGCAGATGTGTGCCCTCTGGGAGGGGGAGGAGAGCATGGCTCATATCCTTGCCTACGCAGCCAGTGGCTTTCCTGCAGGAGATAAATTCTGGCGAGTACAAAGGCCAGTGCAAGGTCTCAGCACCACTGAAGCCCTGAGAGCTTAAGCAGTACTTCAGTGATTCATAAGATTTGTGCTGACCCTCTGCACAGCAGTGAGCTTGACCTAGCAGAGATTAGCACCTACAGTAGATACCGCAGTGATGAATGCATTAAAAGTGCCGTGGACGGCTAGATACTGTCGACAGACATACTGTGCTCTTTAGCGTCCGCTGGGAGTTGGACTTAAACCTTTGGCATTTTCCGAGGTAATACATTTTTCGTGATTCCACCACAGAGAGAGCAGAGTAGGAAGCTAGGACCATTTATTTACATTACTCCTGTAACTTTGTATTTCTAATCTGTATGAAATGTTGCAAGTCATTTAACTCAGCCCATAAACACTTCTCTTTACAGATTTTGCTTTTTGCAAATCATGTTCTAATACAAGAAAGATGTGTTTTGTTAAAGAGGTAGATCAGCATTTTTTTCTGTATTGATCACAATTTGCAAAAAAAGGATTTTATTGTGTGTAAGCAGTTGCATTAAATGGCAGCAGATTCCAAGTTTAATGATACCTAAGCATGACTTGAAGTCACCATTTTACGCAGCAAATCATTAATTTTGTGTATATGCCTAACTTTTGGGCTAGTAACAGAACTAAAATTCATAATTGTGATTGAGACAAATAGAAAAGAAAATTATAAAGCATTATTGCAAAAGTATTTCTCCTATGGTCATTCCTTATGGTCAGGATTTCTGTTCAGTGCTCTATAAATGCAGTTCTCACATCGTATTAAAAACAATACTTTATTCCTTTCTGTGTTCAAAGATCTTAGCTTCTTTATGCACACAAGTGATATAACCTCAAAACATCCACATGAGGCTGAGGCAGGGGCTGCAGCAAACCAATTCACAGAGAATATTTTTACATGTATCGATAATTAAATTTATTAGATGAGTCCTCAAAACATTAATGAACTTTCACTGGTTGCACAATTATAATGTTGGAGTGATTTCCATTTTCCATTTATGAGCAGGGAACAGAAAGATTGAGACACTGAGTGCCTGATGCAAAGATTATTAAAAGTCAATGCTAAGACCTTCGTTGATTTAGTGGGCTTTGGATGAGACTCCCAGTACATTGCCCACTGTTATGAGAAGGCCAGTAGAATAGCAGGGAATGAGCCAAATATTCCAGGTTCTTCCGTTTCAACCATGAAAATGTTTTTATTCCAATTTCATGAAGGTTTTATCCTGATGCGATTCTGTCGGAGGTACTGGAGGCAGAGGCTCTTCTAATGCTATAGGTTATAGGGTAGAGTTGAAGTTTGTGTAAAAAGAAGTGTGAGGAAAGAAGCTAATGATCATGTAAGCCTCCGTCTCCTGTGCATTTTCATGAAGCTGCAGAAAATTTATTTGGTTTTGTTTTGATCTTCTGAATGAGTTTTCAGCCTTGGACTTTGGAAACTGAGGTTTTATTCCTAATGTTCTTGTATTACAGTAGGTTCTATAACAAATGGGTAGGATCTGTTTCTTACCTTACTAGTGTATTTTTTATACTGTTGTATTCATTAGCTAAAAATGTAGTGAAAAGGAAAGAATTATCAAATATAGTCAAACTGAAAGACATTCTAAAGGAACTTAGCACATCTGCCATGTAAGGCTATTAAGAGAGAAAAATGAAAACTTACAGCAAAGACATAAGTGGAACGATCCCCCCCAAATTAACCATCTCGTCTATAATTAGAAAATAAAGGAAATGAATTCTGGCAGTCTCATGCCATCTCCTTCACCTTGAATATTAAGTATGAACACTCCCCTGTATATGCATTGATTGGAGAGTTAAGAGCTAATATTTTAATGCTTTTACTACATTGAATTCCAGATACTTTAAAACATTTGAAATAATACATTTTAAAATTATAAAATTACATTACAATGTATATAGACTGCATTTCATCAATTAAATATGCCATAATTATATTATTTTTAACATTTCTTATAGCTGAGCAGGAAAAACAAAATCAGAGAAAGTCATTTCTGGGGAACCCGATGTCAATCTTGGATTTATACCAACACAGTGTCTATGGCCATTTTGGAGAGGATGGACCTGAACAATTAACACATTACAGTTTAATTGAGCAGCTGAGTGGAGCTTCCAGTAAAGACAGGAAGGGCAAGGAGAGCCCAAGTGTGAGTTACTGTGATTTTTATATTACTTCTCATTTTCTTCATTATTTTATTTATTTGCCTCTTGTTTTTTCCTCAGTGTGTTGATTGATTACAAAAACTAGGCAGACTTGAAAAAAACCAGCATGACCTGCAGAAGAGTAAAGATCTAAATATTTTTAGAACAGACTGTTACATTCTGATGCTCACCTGTCATAGAATTAGACTTCCAAACTTGACAAGTAGAGACAGGCTAGTGCTAGCAGTCTACCATTAGAGAGGAGTTGAAATTTAAGGCTAGCAAGAAAACACAGAATTTATCTTTTAAGGCTGTTCCTTCACATATGGTTAGATAGTATGTATAGCACAACATGTAGTAAATGACTTAAACATCTGAAGTAGTATTCCTGAAAATTCAAATGAAACTATGCTATGGAAGTCAGCTATCTTCTGGTCTCTTTTGAAATAACTCTTGGTGTTAGCTCTGAGCCTCCTGATTTGAGGGTTTTAAACATTATTTTGATGAAGATCAGTCCTGATGTGATTGGTGTGTCTTGACGCTAAACTGAAACAAATTTGTTTTCTCCCTTGCTTCACGTGAATCCACTTGCTATTTCTGTCTCTAAAAACGTTGAACCTGACATCATGCAGTCTCAACATGCATGAAAAGCAACTTCTCAACCTACTCTTTTCCTCCTCTTTTCTCATGCCTTCTCCTCTCATCCTCACACTTATTTCTCACTTTTTCTCTCCTTTGCTCTAACAAGCCTATTTGTTTGAAAATAAAGCCACCCAGCCACGATCTACTGTAATCATTTTGCCTCCACGTTCAGTCTCTTTCCCCAGCTCTTCTTTTTAAATACAAGCTCTTTCATTTCTGTGTGTAGCACTCGGCACATTTTGGGTATGTTACAGTATAAACAAAGGTGATAGCAGAAAATAATGAATGAGCTGCTGTTTTGTAGCATACTGGCATAGTTCGTAAGTGAAGAAGAATTTTTATCTCTTCCCAGACCCCAGTTTTCAGCTTCAGAAAATCACTGTGCATTGTAACTTCAGAGGTGATTAACCAAAGTTAGAGTCTTACAGCTTTCAGGAATCTGGGCCAAATGTGCAGAAGGAATGTGTGGAACAAACTGGCAATGCCCCTGTTTATTCCAACTCTACTGGCATGAAAGCCCCGCTTAACTGAATATTAAATTGACTCACAAACTTCAAAAGAAAAATCCTGAAATGTATCTGCCTCATTTCCCAATCAACCAAATTTCACTAGTACCCAGAATGATTCAATTTGAATATATTTGGGTTGTATTAGAAAGAACAATTTTAAAGAATCTGGCTTCATAGTTGGGAAGAAGGAAAAAAAAAGGTAACAGAAAAGTATTAAAAAGGATAGATGAAGGAAAATAATTTCAGCATCCACTTAATTCCTCATCTTGAACATCTAGAAATTCATAGCTTAATTATGCAGACAAGATGAATTATACATGTATGTATATATGTATAGATATAAAAAAATATAAAAATCAGTTCTGCCTTCTGAAGGCCAAGGTCTTTTGCTATTAACGAAGCAATTAGATTTGGTTCCACTATAGAAAAGTGGCTCAGAGTTGCATCTACTTTTAATTCATTCTTCTCATGTGATTCTTGTATATGACATCTCTGCAATGTGCTCAATCAGCATCAAAACTTAAACAAAACTCATTGAAATAGCCTTAGGATCCTTGTAAAAATCCATCATTAAACTAGAAGGCAACAGGTATCACTCAGCACTAGCATTTTTCATGCATTATGTTGGGGGGCTTTTGAGATTACTTTTTGAGGATCTGAAATGGCTCTCAAAACAGCATTGCCTCTCGGTGAACAGTGAAAGCTCAATAAAGCACTAGAGATTTGCCTATTAGTATTAAACTTTTCAGAATGACAAATGAGAAGCAGTAACCATGAAAAGCAGGTTGCCCTGAACTCCTTGTTTGAACCAGCACGGCAAATTTTTCTCAGCTGTAATTTGTCCAACCCAAGAAGATCCACAGTCTGTTTAAATCAGAACTGTGTGATCTGGAACATTACCCACGAAAAAAGGGGGACACTAGAAACTGAGGCACTTATGGCCAACAACTCTGAAAAAAACCAGATATGTTTTGAGGGAGGAAAAAATGCAGCTTTCATACAGAACATTTGGCATTTTGAAAAAGAAAATGCTGTGTGCTTTGAATTTCATTCCCAAATGGTGTGTGTGAAGCCTTTAAAAAAAAAACCTACAAGTGTCATGATGGACAGAATGAGTTTACGCTCCTTGCCAAAAGAGCAGTGTGCTGTATCAGTCCCTCAGCCCAATTACATTTGACTGTACAGCACCACTACGATAGTGGCTTCAGAGTGGGTGCTCTAATGAGACATTCTGGCAGGAAGCTCTGTTAACCCATACTTATTGTCATTTGAATTGTCTCCTTCTGACTGAGCATATTCACCAGCGTTACCCCCAAAGTATATACACAACAAGTTTTATCAGCAAAAAAGTATTGCACAGAAGGAGTTTCAAAAGGGAAACAACCAATGGCAATTACTATGATAAAGGGACACTGAATGGGCAGTTTGAGGAATCGAAAAAGGCTTTTACACATTGAAAGGAGAAGTATTTATTGTCCCAGTTTCTTACCTGCCAAGTCTTAAACAGCATCCTAGTTAAATTCTCTTGGCACTAAGATCAATTTGATGTAACATTTATTTTGACCTGGGAAACACATTCTGAAATAATGTCATCCTTTTGTACACTGCAGAATTTTGGACAAGAAAAACAAATCAAAATTTCAAAGAAAGGAATGAAATGCATTGAATCATGGACATAAAACTTTCACTTAAATTAACATCCGTGGTGTATTTTTCTCATGTAGGATTTTGAAAACTAGAAACAATTTTTATATGTATCAATGGAATCAATTTTAATTAAACAGTAACTTCTCTGATTTAATAAAACATAAATGGGTTCATGAAAGGCAGGTCCTGCTTGACCAACCTGATCTCCTTCTATGACCAGGTGACCCGCCTAGTGGATGAGGGAAAGGCTGTGGATGTGGTCTACCTGGACTTCAGTAAGGCCTTTGACACCATCTCCCACAGCATTCTCCTGGAGAAGCTGGCGGCTCACGGCTTAGACAGGTGGACTCTGCGCTGGGTCAAAAACTGGCTGGACGGCTGGGCCCAGAGAGTTGTGGTGAATGGAGTTCAATCCAGTTGGCGGCCGGTCACGAGCGGTGTTCCCCAGGGCTCAGTTTTGGGGCTGGTCTTGTTCAATATCTTTATCAATGATCTGGATGAGGGGATCGAGTGCACCCTCAGTGAGTTTGCAGATGACACCAAGTTGGGCGGGAGTGTTGATCTGCTCGAGGGTAGGAAGGCTCTGCAGAGGGACCTGGACAGGCTGGATCGATGGGCCGAGGCCAACTGTATGAGATTCAACAAGGCCAAGAGCCGGGTCCTGCACTTCGGCCACAACAACCCCATGCAACGCTACAGGCTTGGGGAAGAGTGGCTGGAAAGCTGCCTGGTGGAAAAGGACCTGGGGGTGCTGGTTGACAGCCGGCTGAACATGAGCCGGCAGTGTGCCCAGGCGGCCAAGAAGGCCAATGGCATCCTGGCCTGTATCAGAAACAGTGTGGCCAGCAGGAGTAGGGAAGTGATTGTGCCCCTGTCCTCGGCCCTGGTGAGGCCGCACCTCGAATACTGTGTTCAGTTTTGGGCCCCTCACTACAAGAAGGACGTTGAGGTGCTGGAGCGTGTCCAGAGAAGGGCAACGAGGCTGGTGAGGGGTCTGGAGCACAAGTGTTATGAGGAGCGGCTGAGGGAACTGGGGTTGTTTAGCCTGGAGAAAAGGAGGCTGAGGGGAGACCTCATCGCTCTCTACAGCTACCTGAAAGGAGGCTGTAGCGAGGTGGGTGTTGGTCTCTTCTCCCAAGTAACAAGCGATAGGATGAGAGGAAATGGCCTCAAGTTGTGCCAGGGGAGGTTTAGATTGGACGGGAGAAAAAATGTCTTTACGGAAAGAGTGGTGAAACATTGGAACAGGCTGCCCAGGGAAGTGGTGGAGTCCCCATCCCTGGAGGTATTTAAAAGACGTGTAGATGAGGTGCTTAGGGACATGGTTTAGTGGGCATGGTGGTGTTTGGTTGATGGTTGGACTCAATGATCTTAGAGGTCTTTTCCAACCTTAATGATTCTATGATTCTATAAACAGCACCTGACCCAAAGTCCACTGCAGTCACCCCATGGGAGACACCTATTCAGTGAAACTTCAGTGAGGCCTGCATTAAACAGCTGTTCCTCTTCCTTATAGCAGTAACTGGTAGTGCCTTGAGCAGTTTGCTGACGTCATGATTGCTACCATATTTTTGCAATGAAAAAATTATTTCACATTTCCATTTATTTACTGTTTAGACTTTAAAAGCCCAGTGATTTATTTTTTCTTGTAAGAATTCAGAAAACAAGATAAATTTCCCTCACCCAGGCCCATCGTTTATTAACTTATTTTATGATCAAATGAGAACCGACACAAGACTTTTTATTGTCATCTTTGTTCCCTTGGAGAAGTATCTGAGTTGGTCAAAGATTTTATTACTTAATCATCCTTATGATCCCAAAGCATCATGAAAAATGTGTTTTCTTTTCTGTCCTTAACCAACCATCACATACTTTTTTCTGTAATACAGTCCTTCTTGTTTTCTTTTGTCCTTATGTATTACTCAATTTGAATTACCATCAAGGCTTGCTTGTATTTCAAGGCATGACTTGATGAGCACTTTAAAGAATAGATCCTTTATGGAAGGGGTTGGTACCCATCACAAGTTTCTAAATCCTCTTGTTTTCCCTCAGTTGTGATGACATACATGAGAAATCTGACATTTTTGGCACAGTTACAATGTTAACTACATTAGCAACTTAACTAGGGTGCTCATTTAACGAAAGAGGCTTGTATGTGCAATGTGAAGCTATGGTCTTATTCAATATGGTGAAGTTTGTGTGTCTTG